ATTTTCACACCTAATTATTTCTGTCCCTGTCAATTAAGTTTTATAAGATCTTTGTCTCTTAACACTAATATCAGCACTTTTATTTTTTTTTATTTTTCCAGAGAAAGGACATATAAAAATATTCTAATGCAACAATTAGAGCATTAACTTTGTCATATTCATTCACTCAATAAATACTAAGTGAACACTTGCTATGTGCAAAGCACTGTAGCAAGCAGTGAAGCAAAGTAGGAATGGACTTTGCTTTTATAAGTTTACAGTCTAAGCACTGGAGAGGAACATTATCAATCACATGAATAAATACACAATTTTAAAATGTAGCAAGTGCAATGAAGAAGAAATTGCTGTGGAAACATTTAACAGAAAGACCTAACAGTAAAAAAGATAATGTACTTTAAAAGTGTCAACGTAGTGTTCAAAAAATTGGCTTCTTCAAAATTTGGATACATAAAATTTGAAGGTTACCTGTAAATTCAGCTGTTAAATATTACCTCAGAGTTATGATCAATGTTCTTCAGAAACCTGACCCAAACTGGAGAAGTCACAGGCTTTACAGAGGAGGTGATGGCTGAAGGTGAATGCTAAAGTTGAGCAAGTTAGCCAAGTGAAAATGGCTGAGTGAAATCATTTCAGGTATACACCATAACATCCTGGTAGGCATTCAAATAAGAAAAAAAGCATGCCCCATTCTCAAGTGTCTTAATATGGCAGGAGTACAGAGTAAGGAAGACAGACAAAGTTAGGATAGAGAAGCAGTGGATAAGTTTTGGTGAGGTAAAGAGAGATCATGTCATGAAGAGCCTTGTAGGCCATTTGGGGAGTTTGGACTTTGTTTTGAAAATAATGAGAAATCACTGAAGAGTGTGAAGCAGAGAGAGTGATAAAGGTAAGATTTGAACTTTCAGAAAAATCGTATTTTAATCGTTTTACACGTTTAAGAAAGACATTTTACAGAACAACTTTTAAAATAAGAAAATTTAACCTCTTTCCCCACCCTTTTTATTTGATAAAACCTGGTCACTATTCCGCGAAAGTAGGAAAATACTTCAGGTCTTTGTATCTCCTGCGTGTGGTTTGAAAACCACAGATCGCCGGTTTTAGATGAAAAATTTGTGATCCAGGAAACTTATGTAACTTTCCCAGGTGAAAAAGGGCGCCTGGGTGGCTCAGTCGTTAAGCATCTGCCTTCGCCTCGGGTCAAGATCCCAGGATCCTGGGATCGAGTCCCATATCGGGCTCATTGCTCCGCGGGAAGCCTGCTTCTCACTCTCCCACTCCCCCCTCCTTGTGTTCCCTCTCTGGCTATGTCTCTCTCTATCAAATAAATAAATAAAATATTTAAACAAACAAACAAAGTCTTTACTGTAAGAGTCAGGATTATAATCATCTTTACCTACTCTTTACGATTCTAAATAGGCACCGCTCTCTCGCCCCCTCCCCGCACGCCCCAACAAACTCACAGCATTCCTGAACTAAGAGCCTTCAAGAAAACCGGACTGTTTCACATCTGCTAAACGGAGATAGAAATTCCAACCTCATATGCCTGCTGTAGGGATTAAATGAGAGGCGCCTAGCACATAACAAGTAGTGGCATAAATTAGCTTTAGCATCTATTAGAACACATTACTTTAACACATCCGTGATTAACATTGTTACATATTATCAAAAAGACGCTGTACTCAGCCCAAGTCACTATTTCGGGGAAACGTGCAAGTATAGAATGGCCAGCAATCAGAAGATCCTCTGTTCTGAGGGCACGAAACCCCGCAATCACACACCATCTGTTTTTGGGGTCTGGTTTGAAATCTCCCAGTCGGGGGACGCAGATTTCAACTCGCCCTGTGCCTATCTCTGTAGCTACCTTTCCTCTTCTTGGCCAATGTTGCCTCTACAGGTAAAGGCCCAACCCAGCGCTCTTCATTTTCCTCTTCGTTCTCTTGGGCCACCGCCACTACCACTGTCAGCTCCCTTTCGCTGAGTTCTGTTTTTTCCGGTTCCTCCTGGTCCCTGCGCCTTCTCCTTCTCAGCTGTGAATCGCTACCACCTTCCGACGCCATATTGTCCGAATTGTCACAAAAGACGCGACACACACACAGCTCTGCTACCAATCTTAAAAGCGGCGCAGCTTGCCCGTCAGCGGCCAAGCGAGTTTCGGGATTGGCTGGGGTGGGTAGGAGCAGATCCAATCAGCAAGCAGCGCGCGCAAACGTTCTAGGCCAAGAAGCCTTGTTACGCCCGGCGGAGAAGACCTGAAGTCCGTGGCACTGTGGTGGTAAGAGATAGGCGAGGGAGAGCGCCTTAACGGTTGAAAACTTGCCGCTGGGCCTGGCAGGTCCCAGGATGTGAAACTGCAGCCCCGATGGTGGGACCCTTACCTCACGGGAATTGTTTACCGGACGTCCAGCCAGTCATTGTGACCGGCTCTTCTCCCGCTCTAGAAACGCCCCGGGTTAGGAGAGATGGCGCGAGGGGCCCGGAATTGAGGGAACTGGTTAATTTGCGGGCCTCCCTTCAAGCTCTCCAAACTGACTTCTTGCTTGAAGAGGGGGGACGGCGGGGGCGGAGAGAATTATGTACTGTATTCTTTCAAGAAAGTAAGGTAGAGAAAAAAATGTTATTAAAATCATAAAGAAGAGAAATACATTTTCAGTACTGTATGTGTACTTACTGGAAAAAAAAATCCTTGTATAAGTGGACCTGCGCAGTTTAGTACTATGTTGTTCAAAGGTCAACTCTATTAGTTTCGGGTGGACATCATAATGATTGGCTATTTTTATATATTTCAAAATGATCACCACAGTAAGTCTAGTTAACATCTGTCACCATGCATACAGAATTTTTTTCTCTGTGAGCTTTTAAGATCTAATGTCTTAGAAACTTCCAAATACAGTATTATTAACTACAGTCACTATGCTGTGCATTTCATCCCCATGACTTACTGTTTTATAACCGCCAAGTTTGTACTTTCTGGCCGCCTTCACCCATTTTGCCCTCTCACCACTCTGCCTTTGGTAACTACCAATCTGTTCTCTGTATCTATGAGTTTGGTTCTCTTTCTTTTTTTTTTTTTTTGTTCCTCAAGATTCCACATCACACGTAAGTGGGATCATATGGTAATTGTCTTACTCGGTCTGACTTATTTCATTTAGCATAATGCCCTTGAGGACCATCATTGTTATTGCAAATGGCAAGAGTTCATTCTTTTTTATAGCTCTGTGTGTGTGTGTGTGTGTGTTTATACATGGCCACATTTCCTTTATCCTTTCATTTGTCTATGAATACTTAGGTTGTTTCCATATCTTGGCTATTGCAAAATAATGCTGCAATGAACATGGTGGGTGCATATATCTTTGAATTAGTGTTTTCATTTGCTTCAGATAAATACCCAGAAGAGGAGTTGCTGGATCATATGATGGTTCTGTTTTTAATTTTTTGAGGAACCTCCAAAATACTTTTCACGGTGGCAGCGTAAATTTACATTCCCACCAATAGTGCACAAAGGTGCCCTTTTCTCCATATCCTCATCAAAATTTGTTTTTTCTTGGCTTTTTGAAAATAACCATTCTAACAGGTATGAGGTGATATCTCATTGTGGTTTTGATTTGCATTTACCTGATGATTAGTGACGTTGAGCATCTTTGCATGGTAGATGCCACTGTTGGCCATCTTTCTTCTTTGGAAAAATGTCTATTCAGATCCTCTGCCCATTTTTTAATTTTTAATTTTTTTATTTATTTTTTTGCTCTTTATTTGTATGAGTTCTAATATACTTTGAATATTAACCCTTTATTAGATATGATTTTCAAGTATTTTCTCCCCTTCTATTTTCATTTTGTTGATGGTTTCTTTTGCTGTGCAGAAACTTTTTAGTTTGCTGAATTCACACTTGTTTATATTTTCTTTTGTTGCCTTAGCTTTTGGTGTCAAACCCCCTCTCCCCCACCTGCCAAGTATCTTCGAGGAGATTACTGCCTGTATTTCTTTCAGGAGTTTTGTGGTTTCAGGTCTTACATTAAAGTCTTTAATCTATTCTGAGTTAGTATTTGTGTAAGGTGTTAGATTATGGTCCTGTTTGAATCTTTTGCATGTGGCTATCCAGTTTTCCCAACACCATTTATTGAAGACACTGTTCTTTCCCCATTGTTTATTACTGGCTCCTTTGTTGTAAATTGACCATATATGTGTGGGGTTTATTTCTGGACTCTAGTCTGTTCCATTGATCTTAAGAGTTATATGGATACTTTCTATTAGTTTATTTCATGTATATTAGTCTTTTTCCAATAATAGTATGAGTTTCTTTAATTTGGTATTAGCTCTTTAAGTTTGTATAGCATAGTATCCCTAAATATAGCAATATTCTTCAATAAGTGAGTGGGAATTGGAATACTAACAGAGATCCTCAAGAGGATGACTTACTCTCTTTTCAGAAAGGTACATTTAAGGATACAAAATGTGGGAAAGGGATAAAGTTAAACTCTTACATGTTTTAATTTATTTGTATTCTCATGCTACATTGAGTTGCCATTTCAGCTAGTTTGTTGAACGTCTATCCACACACATGCACACACACAATTTCACATTTTTTTCACATACTCATAATGTATTTTACTGATTAGTATCTACAAAGTGGGGAAAGATCAATTTGCACTTAATTTTTAAGTTAAGGTATATTTAAAACAAATATGTATATAAAATTTGACTCTTGCTTGAAAATATTCTAAAATTGTTAATGATTGTAGCTTTGTGAACTTAACTGTATCTTTTATGTATAGCAAGGAAGATGTTTTGTGTAAACATTTTTGGATATGACATAAGTAATTTAACTAGTCTTACTAGTTGACTTCAGATAGTTAATAGTAATGTTAATAGCTAATAATGAAATAGTTCTTTATATGCTAGGGACAGTTCTAAGAGCTTTATACATATTAACTCATTTAACTGTCATAACTTTATGGGGTAAGTAATATTATCTTCATTTTACAGATAAGGAAACTGAGGCACAGACAGTTTAAGTGACTTGCCCAAGGTCACACAGCTTGTAAGTATTGAAGCCAGGATTTAAACCTAGACAGTCCGATTGTAGAGTTCACATAAAGTTTTTTGGATAATGTTGTAGTAAGCGTACCCATGTAGACTAAAGCAAATATATCTATCTATAGGATTATTCCTAGGAATAGAATTTCTGGGTCAGAAGATAACTGTATTTAAAGTTTTGATGGATATTTCTTATTATCCTCCAGAGTGATTGGTTTACCAACAGTGCACACCTCTTGTTCAACACTATTCTCAATATTGTTTCTTATGAAATTTTTCACTATTGCTAGTCTGGATGAAAAGTAACACTTGTTTATTTTAAGATATATTTATTTGAGAAAAAGAGAGTGCATGTGAGTCAGGGAGGGGCAGAGGGAGAGGAAGAGAGAGCAGATTCTGCTCTCATCATGGAGCCTGACATGGGGTCAGTCTCATGACCCTGAGATCAGGACCTGAGCCAAAACCAAGAGTCAGCTGCTTAACTGACTTAACTGACTGACTGCTTAACTGACACCACCCAGGTGCCCTTAATTTGCATTTTTATGACTTCTGAGTAAGTTTAAGAATGCATTTTTCTATATTGAAAAGATATTTCTCATTTTTTAAATTTCCCATTTGTGTCCTTTGCCCATTTCTATTGGAATGTTTTTGTTGTTTAGCTTTTTATTGCAAAGTAAAATATAGATACCAAAACCCGCATAAAATAAATGTAATTTTTTTTTTTTTTAAGATTTTATTTATTCATCTGAGAGAGACAGAGATAGTGACAGAGAGCACGAGTGGGGAGGAGAGGGAGCAGCAGGCTCCCCACTGATCAGGGAGCCTGTCATGGGGCCCGATCCCAGGACCCCAGGATCACGACCTGAGCTAAAGGCAGACACCCAACCGACTGAGCCACCCAGTGATAATCACCTCAAAAGTCACTTATTTGGCCCATACCAATCACAGTTCTCTCTTCTACCTTCTCTCTCCCTCCCTCCAAAAGTAGTAGATGTCCTGATTTTTATGGCGATAACTTTTTGAGTTTAGGTGGTTTTTTTTTTTTTTTAATGGTTGGTTGTTAGATTTTCTTTTCTTATTAATTTGTAGGCATTCATTATCCATTAAAAAAATTAAGTCTTGGGTGCCATATATATCACAAATATTTTCTTTAAATTTTGGGTTTTACATTTTAGCTTTTTTTTTTTTTTTGGTTGAGCAATTTGGATCTCTTACTCAGTGCCATGAGGGAAAATACACACAGTGTGGCGTCTTAGTAATGAGGTGTTAGATTAAATTTTAACTTTTTTTTTTTTAAAGATTTTATTTATTTGACAGAGAGAGACACAGCAAAGAGAGGGAACACAAGCAGGGGGAGTGGGGGAGGGAGAAGCAGGCTTCCCGCTGAGCAGGGAGCCCAATGTGGAGCTCGAACCCAGGACCCTGGGATCATGACCCAAGCTGAAGGCAGACGCTTAACGACTGAGCCACACAGGCGCCCCTAAATTTTAACTTTTTAATGATATCTTTGTCCATGTAGAATTTTTAAAAATTTTATAGAAATTTTACTTAGTTTTGTTAGAAATGCTTTCCCAATCCAAGCAAAATTGTCATCATGTTTTCTTCATGTTCTATTTTATCATTTCTGTTTTTGGATTTTTTGAGGAATGCAGGGATGGTGTTAAGATTGAGGTATATATCTAGGCTTATTCTTCCCCCCCGCCCCCCGCAAATACTATGCAGTTAGTTAAAAAGAATGAGTAAGTTCCATAGAAGACCAAATTATACATGGGAAAAAAAAGCAATATAGTATATGAAATATCCTCCAATTTGGATTGTTCTTATATCCCTTTAATTTTCATTGCCGTGGGGGTACCTGGGTGGCTTAGTCAGTTAAGCATCTGCCTTTGGCTCAGGTCATGATCCCAGGGTCCTGGGATTGAGCCCCTCATTAGGCGGGAGCTTGCTTCTCCCTCTCCCCACCACTTGCTCGTGCTCGCTCGCTCTCTCTCTGTCAAATAGATAAAATTTAAAAAAAATTTGCATTGCCATCTCTGTTATATATCATAGGTCCATAAATGTGTTCCATTGTTCAGTTTGCCTATCCATGTGCTAATTCCACACTATAAAAATTTGTATAGTTTTATAATAAGTTTAAAATCTGGTAAGGCAAATCTTCTCATCTTCTTCATGATGGTCTTGGCTGTTTTTGGCCCCTTGCCTTACCATAAACTTTAGAATTTGCTTGTCACGTGCCCCAAATACAAACAAAAACTTTGATTAAGATTTAATAGATCAACTTGGGGGAAGTAACGTCTTCACAGTACTGAGTCCTTCAGTCTGTGAACATGATGTATCTCCCTAAGTTTCTTTAAAACCTCTCTATTGATAAGTTTGATTAAACAATATAAAACTTTAAGTTCCATAAAATTAGTATTTTGGGGGAGTGGGTTATTCTGATTTGTATTTGGTGTTGTGGGGTAGACATCTTTATTATTCTTTTTTCTTCTGTCTACTTCCTTAAAATTGTCCCACCTTTGCATTTCATGCCATCAGACTCCACCACCTACCACTCCTTGCAGTGGTTATCTAGCAAGATTATATAATGCTCCTTCATTTCTTGAAGATTTTTAGCTTCTTGCTCACTGCAACCCTCTGCAGCACTACTGTCATACTTCATGGTGATTTTAATATCCATTTATGGCCTCTCTTTTTCTTGACCTCTTTTCCTCTATTGATTATATTCTCCATCTTAGAGTAGTTACTCATTCCTGTGGTCATACCTGAAAGACTGTCATTCTTTCACTTTGTCTTTGTCTGTACCTGTGCTGCTACATTATAGAAGAAAACATATAACCATGTTTTAGTTTCACTTTAAATTGATAACTAATAATCTCAAGTGGGCATTTAATGCTCTCCAGTTATTCTACTATTTTATCCTATCCCATTCTCTTATATATCTTTTATACATTTCTTAATGTATTTCTTAAATCTTCAGTGCTTTTCCCCATTCGCATTCACACCTGATGACCTTAGTTACCATTTCCCTGAGAAAAGAGAAGCAGTCCAAATAGAACTTCCATAAGATCCTATCAACACATCTATGAATGTACCTGCATCTATGCCCCTAATATTCTGCCTACCCTTCCATTAAAATGAACTATATATACTTCATTCTTAAATCAACCTCTCTACATGTGTATTAAGTCCCATTCTTCTTTCTCTCCTGCAACTCCTACAATATTTCCTTCTGTGTTGTTTAAGATGCTCTATTTTCTCCTGTCTTTCTTTTACCCTGAAGATTTGTTTATTTCTTTTAGAGAGAGAGAGCGCATGTGAATGAGCAGGGGGGAGAGGCAGAGAGAGAATCTCACACAGACTCCCCGCTGAGCACAGAGCCCCATGTGGGGCTCGATCTCACGACCCTGAGATCATGACCTGAGCCGAAATCAAGGGTCAGATGCTCAACTGGGTGAGCCACCCGGGCACCTCGCTACCGAAACTACTCTTATGAAAGCCTCCAGTTCTGTGTATTTATTCCACTGAAATTATTGTGACAAATTATCCTAAGACTTCGAGGTGTAAAACAACCATTTACTATGCTCAGCAATTCTTTGCATCAAGAATTCAGACAGGATGCAGCAGGACAGCTTGTCTCTGTTCCACAATGTCTAGGCCCTTGTCTAGAAGACTCAAAAGTCTGAGGGCTGAATCATGAGAATGTCCATGTGCATGTCTAATGGTTGATGCTAGCTTTTGGCTGGGAACCTTGGTTCCTTTCTATGTGGGCTTCACTGTTGGTCTCTTCATTTGTGCCAGTTTGGGCTTCCTCACAGCATGGTAGCTGCTTTGTAAGGGATAGTGTTCTGAGACAGAGGTATTAGTGGTATTGCCTTTTATGACTTAGTCTTGGAAGTCACTTCCATAGTGACTTCTATTCATAAAGACAGTCAGAAAGTCATAGTCAGGTTCATGGGGAGGATAAATAGGTTCTGCCTCTGAATAGGGAATGATAACCTGAAATATTGCTGTGACTGTTTATGGAAAATACAGTACTCTACTCATGTTGCTAAATAAATTGTCAATTCTGTTTTTATCTTATTTGACCTTTCTCGCATTTGGTAATTTGATAATTCATCACTCCTTCCTTTAATACTTTTGTATTTTGAGTTTTAGGATTTCATACTCTTAATTTTCCTCTTACCTTATTGGTGCTTTTTAGACTCTTTTGGTGGTTCTTCCTCATTCTCTCCAGGTCTGGAACTCTTCTCATTTCTGCCTGTACACTCTTGCTTTTGTGATCTCACCCAGTCTCACGGCTTTAAATATTTTATATGGTGATGACTCAAATTCTAGCTTGAAACTTCCCCTTGAACTGCATACTGTACATTCAGTTGCTTAATCAGACTCTGCACTAATAGACAACTTAAATTTAGCAAGTCTGAAATTGAATTCTTAATCATCACTCCCCCATATCTTGCTGAATCTGTTTCCTCCACTGACTTCTTCATCTCAGTAATCAGCTGGCAGCTCTATCTCTCCAATTGCTTAGGCCTAAACTTTTTTAATAATAAAAAATTTCTTGGATCATTGCAATAGCTTTCTAACTGGGTCCTACTTCTTACCTTACTGGCTGTTGTTAACCAGAGTTGTACTGTTAAAATATAATTCAAATTATGTCATTCTCTTCTTGAAAACCCTCTAATTGTTTATCATCTCAGCCTAAGTCCTTAAAATGGCCTACAAAGCCCACATGATGTCATCCCTGTAATCTCTCTGACCCCATCTTGTGTTCTCTGCCTTACTTTTGCTCCAATCACACTGGCTGCTTTACTGCTCTAGGACATGGCAGTCATATTTCCTGCCCTAGGGTCTTTGCATTGGCGGTTCCCTGCCTGGAACCTCTTACTCTAAATATCCCTGTCTCACTTCCTTTTTTTTTTCTTTTTAAGATTTATTTATTTATTTACGAGAGAGAGAATGAGAGAGAGAGCACGAGAGAGGAGAGGGTCAGAGGGAGAAGCAGACTCCCCGCTGAGCCAGGGAGCCTGATGCGGGACTTGATCCCGGGACTCCAGGATCATGACCTGAGCCGAAGGCAGTTGCTTAACCAACTGAGCCACCCAGGCGCCCCCTGTTGCACTTCCTTATCTCCTTCATGTTTTTGCTCAGTTGTCAGCTTCTCAATGACCTTAAATGACCACATTATGTGTAAAATTACATTACCTCTGCCCAAGCACTTCCTGTTTTCTTCCCTGTCTTGCTTTCCTCCATAAAATTATTATTATTTCCACTTATATTGGGGTGCCTGGATGGCTCACTTGGTTAAGTGTCCCACTCTTGATTTCGGCTTAGCTCATGATCTCAGGGTTCTGAGATGGAGCCCCACTTGGGCTCCTCGCTCAATGGGGAGTCTGCTTGAGGATTCTCTCTCTCCCTCTCCCTCTGCCCCTCCTCCTGCTAGCGTGTGCTCTCTCTCTCTTGCTCTCTCTCTGTCTCTCTCAAATAAATAAATATTTTTAAAAAGTTATTATTTCCATGTATAAATTATTTGATACATATATATATAGAGAAAGAGAGAGAGAGAAGAACGTAAGTTCCATGATACAGATTTTTGCCCATTTTGTTCACTGTTCACATGTATAGTTCCTAGATGAGTATCTGGCAGGTGATAGGTGTTCAACAGATATTGTTAAGTGAATAAATATTTTTTACTTCAGTTTTTCTTATAAGGCTAATTATTACAAGGCACATGTCAGTGAATCAGCAAGATCTAGATCCAGACAGTACTACAGACATGGAAGATGTTACAAATGCTGAAGAAGAACTTATTAAAGAATGTGAAGAAATGTGGAAAGATATGGAAGAAGTAAGTACCAAGAGGTAAAAGTGATATATATATTAATTACTATAAGATTTAATTCCATTTCAATAATAGACTTAAGGAAAATAATTATGCTGGTTCCTGGAAGCCATTATATTATACGATAAATATTTATATGGCTTTTAGACCTATAAGCATTTATTCAAGATTCTTTATGCCAAATGAGCTATAGAAAGAGAAAAAATTATGGCTGTCCCTGCCATAGGAGGTTATCATCTAATAGAGGCAGTAGCCATTGTATTAGAAATATTGTGGTAGAAATGCAAAGACAACTTAGGACGAATAGTAAACCTAGATTGAAAGGGTCAAGTATAACTTTCTAAAAGCAGTAATAACTAGGGGCGCCTAGGGTGGCTCAGTCAGTTAAGTGTCTGACTCTTGCTTTTGGCTTGGGTCATGATCTCAGGGTTCTGAGATCGGGCCCCCCTTCGGGCTCTGTGCTGGGTGTGGAGCCTGCTTAAGATTCTCTCTCTCCCTCTCCTTTGGCCCCTCCCCCCACCTCTAAAAAAATAAATAAATAAAAAGCAAGTAATAACTGAATTCATTTCTAAAGAATAAATAGAAAGTAGCCTCTGAAAGTAGGAGAGTTACACAAAGCAGAAGGAACAAAATATATAAACATTGGGAAGTTTAGAGAACTCTAGGTAGAATATTATGACTTAGTAAATTAGAAGAAGGACCTGTGGAGTAAGGCTGGAAAGTTAATTAGGAGCAAGAACATTGAGGATTTTGTCAAGTTTATAGTACAGGGAACCATTAAAAGATTATAAACATGAAGTGACATGAGATGCAGTTTGGGAAAATTACTTGGTAATTTTGAAGAAAATGAAATATAGAAGACTGAGACTACAGGTAGAAAGAGCATTTAGGAGGCTCTAGTACTAGTTCTGGTAAGAAGTACTGTAAGGGGGCGCCTGGGTGGCTCAGTAAGTTAAGTGTCTGCCTTCAGCTCAGGTCATGATCCCAGGGTCCTGGGATCGAGCTCCGCATCGGGCTCCCTGCTCAGCGGGAAGCCTGCTTCTCCCTCTCCCACTCCCCCTGCTTGTGTTCCCTCTCTCGCTGTGTC